CTTAGAGTGTGACTCTAGTTTAAGGGGGGGGGAATCGCTTGAATATAAAATCTATCTGGTTCTTGCTCACCACACGTCGACACTGGTGTCGACCTACCGACGTGATGGATGCCGATGTCGATCACATCGCCATCGATAATGATGATGACGACGATGCTGGTATATTCAGCATTGACGACGACTGCTACAGTGAGGACTATGACGCCCTCACTGGTGAAGACAACGTTCTTTCAGCAGTGCACACGAAGCGCACTGCTGCTAACAAGGATGAATCAGCAGAGGAATTTCTGCTGACTCGCGAAGCGGTTGTCCGCTTCGTTCAAGACTCTATTGCAGATGCACTGGACTGACAGAAACGAAACACAGACAAACAAGTAAGAGCAAATGCTCTTTCATTTGATGAAGGAGACCTAGATTTACTGTCTACAGTAAACTAAACGAAACACGCAGTGACAAACGTGGGCAGTAGTAAATTACTGCCCCAAGTAAATCGGTCCATTTCGTGTGTTGCGCCGAATGGGAAACGCATACACGATTGAACTACCTTGCAGGATACACACAAATCTTACCTCGTTTTATGGTGGACGTCTCCTCCCGTACTATCAGTACGAGCCCGTTTCGAGAGGCGAAGAACACATCCGCGGTCAAGAGCCGAGACCACCTTCGAGTGGTCCCGTTTCATCGAGCCAGTCTGGTCGACTAGAGAAGCGAACTTCTCACGCAGTTCAGCGATGTCTCGACGAGCTACAGCCAGCTCTTCACGAATAGAACGAGTCGAACGTTCGATCTCAAGTTGCGCGCACGCAAAAAAAAAGCGGTACGATCGTTCGAACGATCGTGCGTTAGGGAATTGTAATTATACCTCACAAGATCCTCAAGCTCATGACGCCAAGTTCGTTCATGAGTCAAGTCATCGTGTAACTGATCCGTTACACGGTTCGGCTCTTGAATATCAAGATGATCCGACCCTCGAGCCGGATCAGGTGTTCCCGCCGCCACCACATCCTTTGGTGGACTTAAGCGGTGGTCAACGCTTCCTAGTGGAGCGTAATTTGAACCATCGCGATGCGAATGGCGTCCGGACGAGCTACCTCTTCCGCTGGCGTGGCTATCCACCGGCGTGGGACAGCTGGGAGCCTCGTGCCCAGCTGATTGATGATGGGATTGGTCTTGTCGATCAGTATGACGAGACCCATCCGCTGCGTTTGAAGAAGGGCCGTCGGAAAACGACCTCCCCGAACGCGAGTACAGGGATTGCAAATTAATGATCCCTTCGGCCATCTCAGAAGATATGCGCGCCCTCCAGTAGGGATCTTTAGGGAGGTAGTCCTCCCAGGGGCACGATTCGAATTTTCGAGGCAACTTGGACACGAATCACCCCACGAGAGACAGGGTAGCCCTGTTTCTCTTGACAGTCGGTACAACTTGTATCGCGCCCCAACTAGGTTGCGTTTCTCAAACCTGATGCGAGCTGCATCAAGTTTGGCGAGCCAGGCCTCACGGCCACTACACTCGATGTTGTAGATGAGGGCATTTTATCCTTGCAACAAGGCTTTACCGTCCCGAACACGGCTGCCATTGAACCACCGATGTTTGAAAAATGTATCGGTGAAGAATTCTTCCTGAGTACGGATATTTTCCGTGCTGAAACTAGGAGGAAAGATCCTCCTACAGTCGAACAACGGGATTCGATCCCGTTCGGTAGTCGTGCCGGCCATCCGATCTAACTCTTTGGATGAAGGAATCCATGGAGACTCCACTTGGGGAGCGTGGCGCAGGACATTTCGGTCCCTAGCCTCTTGATTGGTGCCAGCATGAGCACAGGCACCAGCGTTACCCCGATCCCTTGAATTACTTCGCTCGTGGTGATGCATGGGTGCATCACCACCATCCCCACGCTTCCTATCAAAAGACGGAATTGCGTGAGGCGGACATTCATCGGAATGATCACTCGATCCGAAGATCTCGGTCATGATACCGCCGCGCTGACCAGATCCAATCAGCCTGGCTCTTGCAGTGTCCGCCCCAGGTGATCCCAAGGCGTGAGGAGTCGCCTTCGAGTCGGATGCATCATCCGACTCGCCAGAATAGATAAGCTCTATCCTAAACTCGTTTTAATATCGACTCGCAGTACCCGCTGCAGACGCAGCGGATCTACCTGCCGCACCTGGTGACTCACCACGTGGACGATTCACAACAACAGGCGACGAATCGCCTGCTGCTGTAGCGTGAGAGGCACTTTCCGTGGCCGCACGCATGCTTGCACCCGCCCTTCTTGCTGCTGCAAAAGCAGCTCGCGTGGTTTTGGAAACCATGCGTTGGATTGGCAAAGAAATGGAATTTGACTAACGAGTGCTCCCTTTCCCAAGGTGATTCAACGGTGGTCACCTTGTCCCAACCAATTTTAATCCATATAACGGGTGATTGATGGTTAGGGGGGATGATGTAACGGGGTAGCCCGTTACATGAAATTGACACCAAACGGTGTCAATAGAGGTATTGTCTAGCATGACAATGTTCTACCGATACAATCCGTGATGGATAAATATTGAAGGAATATTATCCCCATTGGATAATATGCATGCGCTGCATAAAGATTGGGTGATAAAGAGATATCAACCATAGATTGCCACCTATCGCAGCTGGACGCGCGCAATGAGTCGTAAGCACGTTGTCGTCATACAACGGCGTAGTTGAATATAGTTGGATAAAGATTAAAGTTTTATTGATAGCTTAGCTTTATAAAATACAGTTCTCTTTTTACCTTTACTTGACCAATTCTTTATAGAGATTAGCTTCCTCCGGACGTACTAGTGTACGTGAAGTTTCGCGGCACCCCAAACGACGGGTGCCCCGTAACACCTGTGCTGCGATTGACCCCAGTACTTCAACAAGATGTACCATCTTGCTAAAGCGATCAACAGACAAAAAAATACTAGTTTTCTTGCAAACGTCTTTAGAAAACCCGAAGACGAAGTCCATTGATACGGACTGCCAACACTCTGCTCTAATCAGAAGATGCTGTAAGAGTGCGCGGGATGACGGACTAGGCTTCACACGTTGACAAACTTTGCAAGCGTGAATGCATTTCCGCACAAACTCATACTGGCGGGGCCAGTAGAAGTCACGACTCACCAAGAGGTAAGTCTTTTCTCTACCGCGATGCCCACTTGTTGGGGCATCGTGACACTCATACATGATGCGCAATCGCAAATCAGTATGAGCCAGAATGACGACACGAGGCGTGTTGCCGGTGAATGCTGTGTAGTACAGAAGTCCATCACGAAACGAATACCGCTCGGTTAAAAAGCGGTATTGAGACGACAAGCTTTTTAAAGCTTGACTGCATGGATTGGCTACATAATCCATCAATCGCAGAAGCGAATCATCTTCTGCGTTGCTCTTCGCACGTCGTCGAGCATATTAGACGACGGAGCACTCACTGTTATTGTTGCTACAGTGGGATCACCCCTACTGTTGTGATGAGCAGTCGGCCCCCAATCGGGCTGACGTGAAAGAGCATCAGTGACGACATTAAGTCGTCCTGGTTTACACTCGACGGAGAAGTTGTACTCCACGAAGAAAGACAGCCACCTCGCCATTCGTTGCGAGAGGTGTGGGCTGTTTACGGCCGTGCGTAACGACGCATGGTCGGTATAAACGATGAAGGGCCTATCTCCTAAGAGATATACCCGAAACTTAGTCAGTGAATATTTCATGGCAAGGTGTTCCTTGTCATGCACCGGATAATTACGCTCAGCTGCTTGCAGCTGACGCGATTGATAACACACGACGCGCTCAACGCCGTCTGATTCATACTGCATTAACGCGCAGCCGATTGCAAAATCGCTGGCGTCACAGACCACATGAAATGGCCTATCCTGATCTGGAATCGCCAACACAGGCGATTGCACCAAGCTTGTCTTGATGCCTTTAAAAGAGTGCTGACACTCAGCGCTCCATGACCACCTCTCGTTTTTCTTTAGCAGACGAGAGAGATGTACGGTCATCTCGGCGTAGTTGCGCGAGTTCTTGTGCAAAAACACCGCCAAGCCTTATCGATTAGTCATCATAGAAGTTATTTTAGTGTTACCGCAAATAATTACGCCTTCCTTTTGGGACCGTTGACGATAGGTTCCATCGATCCATAATCGATAAGTTAAGGTACTACTGCTTTGCGTAAGTGATACAATAGGACGCCTAACAGCAAAAATGTTCTCTTTTTGTGTATACCACACCAGCGTACCTGGTTATCAAGGTCTATGTAAAACCCCGCTAAAAACACTGCCTTCCACGTTTGATAAATTGGCAATCTTGTGATTACATAAAGCGGTGAAGGCGCAGGACTTAGTGATGCAGTAGCCCGTCGACGTGCTGATGCTAGGAGCAAGATCTACAAGCCAGTATTCTGATTCGTCAGAGGCAGCAAATCGCCATCGACGATTGTATTGACCTTATCACTGGAGCTGTCAGAGGTAGTCCGCAAGTATGTCCGGACCCAGTATTGACTGGAGGATACTGAATGGAGCACATTGAACATCTGTATACACAGTTATCATGGAAGTTAGATTGCATTCAGCTACTAGCTGATCTTCAGACGCTGTGCCCTTCAGAATCCGCATTGATTTAAATTGCATAATTTTGTTACGCTCTGTGCTTCGTGCGGGCTGTAGGCCTACACCAAAATTTGCTCATCAAAAGCAATTTTTGTCTCATCTACATTTAATAAAATAAAATTTGGAACACCGTTGTGCGATATTTTAATGCCGCATGAGCTAGGTAGTACGTATTAATGTATGTCCAGAATTTGTTGACGCTTTCCAGCTCATATTCCGTTGATACGAAAACCGATAAAATAAGATAAAAAGCTTTGGTGCTGAACCTTTAATGTAAGAAACCTAGCTAGAAGAAATGAATAAAGCTACAAAAAAGTATACAAAAGCAGTCAGCGAAGAACCAGTATGATGGTGTTAACATCTGTAATTATTTATAAATTAATCATGCTCAATCTGAGCGACTCGCAGTTGATGCATGTCATCGACTCGGCGACTGCAAGAAACGCGTGGGAGAGCTTGGCGCAATTTCATCACAATCAAGACTTGTCGAATCGACTTTGGCTAAGGGAGAAGTTCTCCTCGTTCAAGTGTGCAGCATCAACCATGAGCGGTCATGTGATGGAGCTGGAAGACCTCGTGATGAAGATGAGGCGCGCAAACTGCGGTACAAGTGAAGAGGACGTGTGCACGGTACTGTTGCGAACTCTGTCTTCAAGCTTCTTGAGCTCGGTACAGGCATTTTGCATGTCCGTCGCGAGATTTAGTTTCAGTGACCTCGTGTACAATTTGATCGCCAAAGAAGTGCGCCAGAAGGAGGCTGCGCAGGTAGAAGATTTAACGTCTCTACACAGGAAATGAGGAATGGTAAGCAGTACACGAAGAATCAGCAAGGACGGCGCGAAAAAGAACCATCAAGGACCTGCCACAACTGTGGCAAGGTCGGATACGACGCCAGCGATTATCGATCCGGTCAAAGGCCAAGGGAGCAACAGCATGACCAGCTAAATGTCGCGTTTAACGCCATCGGAGGTTTCGCGAGCGACAGTTGGGTCATGGACAGTGACACGTGAGCACGCATGTGCGAGGATCGAAATGCGTTCGAAGATTACTATGAATTGCATCATGCTCGAGTTACTTCAAGTGCAAAGAGCGACGTGAAGCTGAATGTCATTGGACTTGGCATAGTGAAGCTGGTCGTCTGGACAGGGCACGCGTGGATCAACGCTCGCCGTGAGAACACACTACACGTTCATGATTTGTCCAAGAACCTGTTTCGCTCACGGCTACGACAGCGCGCGGCATGACAGTGGAGATTACGCGCAACGAGTGCGTGGAAAAGCGTGGAGGCACACCGGTAGCAACAGGTAGGAAGCAGGGCTTCCTACTGTACCTCAACGCTGACTATGCTACGGAGTGCTGCCATATAGCCGAAGACGAGACTGAGGTATGGCATAGAAGACTGGACCCCGAGTCGTATGGTACCCTGAATGCCATACTTACAGACGGAAGGATCACGGGCGCGGCGACGAAATCGAACGTTGCGTGTGACGTATGCGCAACGTCAAAGCAAGTGCGCAAGTAATCAAGGCAAGCGAAGAAGACACTGTGGTAAAGCGAGTATTCAAAAAATATGGACTTAAAAATCGATGATCCGGACAAACACGGGACCTCGCGGCTGAGAAAGGAACCGGGAACTTGGGGTCATAGTTATGGAGCGGCCGTTAAGTGTAACCGTGACGAGCGAAAATAATTTTTAGCGGGGTCAAACCATCCTACGGTACTAGTTCAAAGGGTACCAAAATTGATCGTTCTCGACAACTCGTCGGTCGGCTCTAGTCGCCTAAAGTGGACCTCGATACCCCGTATTTCGACATGGCCACCCGTCGGCCTGACTAGATTTTACCAGGTTGCGGAGCTGAAACTAAGAAGAAGACAGCTTACGGTCGGGGTTGAAAACCGAAAATTGAGTTTTTATTCAAATTGTCCCTAGCTCCAAAAACGGATGGCTAGTAGAAGTTGATGACTCTCACCTAACGAATTCGTGCCCTGTCTCTACCGCTTTCGGTTTTACCCATCACTGGGTAATTACGTCTCGTAAATTCCTTTCGTAAAAGTCTGCTGTGTCATATAAAGAATGTAAACGATTGCGTATTTGTGGGATACAAAATTGCGGGTGGGTCACAGTTCTGGTGAACCCAAACACCAGATCGTGAGTGTCAGTCACGATTAAGTTGCACACGGCGGGGAAATAACCCGTACCTACCAAAGTGTTATCCTATTCCTAAACGGCTGAGCTAATCTGATGCTATGTGGAATCGCTAACGTTCCACAATACAACCTGTCAAGGAACAACAGAACTAGTGCTAATATGCAATATTAATCCTGCACATGTGGTATCAACATCACTCGCTGAAAAACATCTGGCGATCTACAGAACTTGCTTCCCTAACTTATTCATTTGATGCCAAGTTAAGGCATATGATTGTACCGGCCGCTCTTTTTCTCATGTCGTTACGACTGTATTTAGGATAAGATATGTAGGCACAAACAAACCATGCTCTTTATGATTAGCCGGGACAGATTATCCGATAGAATTGGATCCCGCCAATATGCAATATAGATTATTTAAAGACTTCTTATAATTTTCGAGTTTATCATCGGAGGCGACCCTTAAATCTAATTCTTTGATGCTCATGATAAGTAAGACGCCAGAACACTCTTTTTTGCTGTCACGGGAAGCGCATATGTGTAAAAAGAACGGGTTTTGGATTGCTGCAAATACCTTCTGATAGATGGGATATTATTACTTGATAAACACATGCAGTATGCGTGCAAGGTATGGCTTGCTCTAAGTGACAATGTCATTGATCATGCTTTGCTAATCTTTACATGCTCGATTTTGATGAGCATAGCATGGGGCAATCGATGTCAGACCGTAAATAAGTGGTGAACTGATTTAGTTTTAAAATATTTTGCAGTCCAGTCGCACAGTCAAAAAAAAGCAATTATTCTAAAAGTTTAAAGTCTATAAAATATATCTGGAATTTTACACGCTTCATTGATCACGTATTCTTCCGACAAATGCAAAGTCAGTGAATCCCCGTTTTTGTTTGTAATCATAAACTTGCATGCAAATCGAATTAATGGTAGCATATGACCATGTAGTCAAGGTTAAATGATAGCTTATGCATCAGTAGCCTTGCATAATACACAAATTTGGCTACGACGGTAAGCGAAATACATATCAATGTGACCCTTTTTTTATATCTAATTTTCTAAGAAATACGAATGTGTAACAAGTGATGAAACCTGGAATATTGTCATATACCGTTTTTACACCGCTTAGTGCATGAATTAGCGTAAGAAAAGAATTTTTGCGAGACTTTGATACTTGATTCACTTACTACATATCGCACGCGATTATGACGACGAGAAAACCAGTTTTTGTGGATAATTTTGTTAAGAAGTACTTTTTCATTATTTCGGTTAATCTTTTTACTTCCATACTATCTATAAACGAGGTTATCCATGTAAGCGTAATTTGTGAAATAGATGGATGTGCATCCAGGAAATTGCAGACTTTTTATAAACAGTTTTATAAGAGCCTTTTCCATTACGCGCACCGTCGCCAGTATCAGTTAAATGTGCTGTTGCCTGTATCAAATGTGGTAGTACTACCTATAAACATTGCGTATGTCTGGACAAAAATGTCCCACATTCACGATACGGTTTGCATCACAAAGTGCTGTAGAAAGGTTTTCTTCTCAAAAATTTCTACAGTAATTACATGGATCTCACGGCTATCTCATGCATTAACACTCTGGTATATTAGGTGCTAGCAACCACAAGGATATGGATGGTATAAATGTACCATTTGGTGTCCATTTAGACTTCTCTTGGAACAGAGCTCCGATTACTTGCGCTTTTATAGTACCAGCTACTCACACTGGACACAGATTTAGTATGTACCTCGGAGCTTCACGTACAGGGTCGAGCAGATGTAGATTCCATCCGAAGCACGGAAAAATTTATAGGACAAACAGGAGAACTGCATTTAGTTGATTTTCTCTCTTGTTGATATATATACTTAGCATTCTTCTAACTAAACCTAAACACAACAATGTGTTGTAACTATGTGATCACCACTAATTGCGCTCTATGGTAGTTGCCCGGCTATACCAATTGTAATCATTATCCTACATCAACTAATGAACAGTGTACGACTTCTGTGTCATGACTTCCGTGGCACAAAATTACCTGCTTGATAGTAGTGTAAGTATGTGACCTCTGCCTTCACACAATATTCACACTCAATATTTACCTTATGTAAATCATTGTGTAACGGTATCGCCCCGTTACAATACCCACCTTTCAACCATCAGTCACAACAGTGACTGACTGGTGGTTAAGTGAATCCGTTGATGAGTACGATACAGGGAATCACTTGTTTGTAAGAATGCTGCTATTATAATTCGTACATCTGCCTAAGAAATGCTAAATCATTGGAAGCAGCAGGTGACAACTCTTCTTCTCCTTTGGTGCTCAGTCTACAGCAAATGATTCTTTTTGGCTCACGCGGTGCTGCACCGCGTGACATCGAAATTATGAGCTTGAGCTCGTTTTCCCTGCGAGTCGAATGACGATTCTGATTCGAAGAAAAATGCCAAATCCAGGAGTGATCCAAAAATGACCTTGGCGGAGCCGACTAAGTTGATTTTACGATGTGATTTGGGTCTCGCTGAACGAGAAGACTTGACATCTTCGAATTGTCGGACGAGTTGGATTTTTAGTTTCCTAGACGAAGTTGTTCATTCTACAGTGGTCGAGGCGGAGGCAGAGACCACCGCAATGGTGATGAAGTTGATGCATGGATGCGTCATGACCAAAGGGATCGGGTAAATATAGTGTCGGGATTTTCATAGACGCGATGCAAGAAGCTAGAGATTTCGGCATCTGTATACGGCTCCTAAGGAAAAGTCGTGATTGCCTACTCAGCGAGTCTTGGATCACCTATCCGAAATGATAAGGATTGTATTCGGAAAAACCTCTAAGATTCACCAAAGCTTTATAGCCTTAACTCTAGTGAGAGTAACATTTAAACTTAAAGTGATTACTCCATCGATTTGCTCTTAACAGATAAATAAACAAACGTGCTGTTGCATGAAGTAATCGGTGCTGTAAAGATCCCCACTGTAAGGACAGCAAGGTGGAACTGCAGAATCAAAGAGGCAGGGATATCACACAATAAATTGAGTTTTGGAAGGTGTTTTAATACACTCCAGCATACATGTCTTAATGTAAAATCATCGATGGTAGAGCGAGGATCACATACGTGATGGAAACTCGCTGATACAAGAATAGAACGCATTTATCCACAATTTGGAATGGAGTGAACGCGATGCCTGGCATGACAAACTCATGGTATTATGAAAAGGGATCGAAAAGCGAAACCTAACCGGTGCACTCTACAAACAGCATCGATTATCTGTAGAGTCCGATAACCATGCTTCTCTTTGGGTGATCCTTGTCAATGAGGTTTATACAACTTGGCACAAGCTCCCACGAAAGCATATTTCTTCAACGATATCTGGTGGAGGGTAAACGAGGGAATAGGGTATCTACAATCCCTTTACAAGCGTGCTGATCTTTTATGTTCGAATGGACTCTATGGTAACTGACGTGCCTTGTCATACTGCTCGACAAAGCTATACATATATTATAAGCTGCGAAAGAGGATTATGACTATTCGCCGAAGGCGAATAGCAGCGCTATCGGATTGATAAACATAACCGATGCCCATTCACATCGTGGTAAACCATACGGTGCTTCACGATGAGTGAATTATTAACATGCGCATTAACAATGGATGAGGCGGATGGGAAACACAACCTCTGGCTGACTTTAATCAGCATATGATGTCGTGAGTCAGCTCGACCGCGCAATGTGTGGGTTCGCGAGGACCTCGGATCCGAGATGAACCGGCGTCTTAATTTTAATAATACTTTTTAATGGTCCCCTTTTAAGCGGGAGAAAGAATCGATCTGAGCTTTCCGTTTAAAAAACTTGAGAATTTAAGGGCATAACGGCGGAAGTTCAGCGCACGAGCACAAGCATCTGTTGATTTTTCTCGAAGTTTATAAACTTATTGGGTAAATCCCCGTACTGATAGAATGGCCTAATATGAGGGGCGTGCAATGTAGGGTCCGTGCACGTCTTTCGTGGAAGTTCAGTCGTTTTTGCGTTGCCTAGGCGGCATAGCACACGAAGATGGACCGATGAATTGGAGCAGTACATTTTTACTACCCACTTTAACAAACATGTGTTATGCTAATTTACTTTAAATGTCAGCACTAAGTCATAACGTAAAGAACAAGTGATTTTCTATAAAGATCCAGTGCTTTTCGATTCTCGCCAGCTTTTCATTTTTATCGATCCACCGCATCCGCAATGAAGCATTGTTTTGATCTGGCAATCGTTTCACGAGCAATAATATATATGCTGACTCACTTTATCAGCTATAGTGATCTTAGATTAAACTATAGCAGGATCATCTTTTCACTTTAACGAGTGGGTTTTTGAGATCTCTGGGTGTGATGATGGATCACTCAGTATAATCATCAGTAAGAGCCCCTATATATTTAATTTTGCTTTTTAGCAATTTCGAAGTGATCGACCCACAAGCATCATATGCAATGACTTCACAGTTAGTACGAGATGGCTTGGAACAAATTTGGTGTTATCTCGAAGGCGTCACCACTCCTACCAGCTTAAACAAAAGTCATGATCCAGACAAGTAAGCAGACGATGATGGTGCAAGCCATTCACGTAGAACGTCGTATGGGTCATTTACGCATGCAATAATTGGATAATAGATTTATCCACAATCGACACGCATTCGCTATTAATTGGTAAAGATATTGAAGTAATCTCGAAGGACCTCTTGGATAACACGACTATTCGTTCCGTACCATCATCTGTTTTGGGGCTTTATGATGTCGGTATTTTTAGGAACGTTCCAAGTGATTGAATACAGATCACCTGTAACGGGGCACCCTGAAGCTTGTACTGATGACAGTACAAGCTACTTATTCTGACGACAGAATAAGGCGGTGCCGCGTAACTTCACGTACACTGGTACGTGCAGAGGAAGACGGTAAGAAGAAGCGATTACTTGGTTAAAGTAAAAAGTAGAACTGTATTTATCATAGTTAATGTCTGTTAATAAATCACTATTGATCCTCATCTAGCTATGTCTGAATACAAATGTGCATATCAACTATCTGCTCACCACTCATTGCGTGCGTCTGTCGTGGCGCGTCTTCGTTGGTTGACATAATGGCCTATACCAACCAATTAGGAACTACTCGTAAGTGCTACAGTATACTTGTCCTTATGACAAAATTCTGAGATTATAACTCTTATAGTTATATTCTATTAACAATTTCTTATAAATTGTTTTGTAGCGATTCACCCCGTTACATCACCCTCCCCCTTAACCATCAGTCACTATAGTGACTGATTGACTAAATGGATACTCGTCCCAAATCATTTGGGACAGCGTTCGCACTTGTTGGTCCGAGTCCACTTTCCAACAGTTCATCGCATGGTTAACAAGTCCATGCGATGCGCGAGCAAGGCCGCCAAGAGCGCGTCCGCACGTCTCTGTGCGGACGCCGAAGCAGAAACCACAGCAACTGATGTCTCATCGGTTGCTGAAGCGACTCATCCTGTGTCACCTGGTGATGCAGGCGCTCGTCATGAGGACACTCATGTATTCACAGAGTATGAGCTCGGTGTCTCACACTCTCCAAATACGGAAGAGGGATCTGTATCGAAGGCGGTTTTAACCAAGCCGCCTGCCAAGCGTGGCATGGATGATGCTATGCGTCGTAGCATCTTTGGTTCGTCGGACGAATCAGATGAACCATCGCCAAAGCGAAGGCGCTCGAAGTCGCAAGACTCGGGCGCTCACAGTGGTGTCGGTTCTCTTATTAACACCAATTCGCAGCGAGGTGCCAGTCCCTCTATTGGCACGTCGCAGGAAGAGCGGGACCGCAACGTGTTGCGTCTCGCTCTCGAGAAGAAGGCATGGATGCCTCTAAAATCCGTCATGGATCGTTTGTCGGCGACGACAAGTGATCGCTATCGAACACGATTGTTCGATTTATCAAGGATCCATCACCTTGACCCCAGTGCGAAAGACTATCGCGCTGAGAATGAGTTCTTCATCAATGCTTTCTTTAAACATCGATGGTACAGTGGGAATCACAAACGTGATGGTCCCTCACTACTTCAAGCGTGGAACGCCCACATCCATACCCTTGAGGATGTAGGTCGTGACGTTTGGAACGACAAACTTATCAAAGCTCGTGATAAGTTTGAATAGCGAACCCCGACCGGTGCACGCTACAAGCTGCATCGTCTGTTTAAGGAGGTTGGGTTACCTTGTCTTTCCTGGGGAGACCCGTGCCCTTCTGTGTGAACAACTCTGCGCGTGCACCTAAGGGTTCTTGCCTCCTTACTAGCCCGTGGTAACACGTACGTATCTCTACTGAGATGTACGAAGGGATTGACAACCTGAGATCCCTTTACGACCGTGCCGGGAAGACTTTCTCCGGCGGTCCTTCTGCGGCACAGGATGTGCCGCGCCGTACTGCACAACCAGACCCAGTACGTCGATCATCAGTTGGGAGCGGGGCTCCCAAGAATACCAGGACGGGGGATAGCCGCGCCACCGGACGAGATAATTCGTCCGACGTCCGTTCACGTCGCGGTGGTTCAACAGCCGCTCAACTAGATAGCGCTGGCCACCGCGAGAGTCCTCTAATAGAGGTGGAGGAGGAGGGAAGACGCTCTCCAAACTATCGTGGGGAAGCGTGTATCCCTGAGAGCCTCTTTGATCGCGTAACGCAAGCTATACGCGGCGATCTCGAACATGAGCGGGACAGGCGTCTCCAACTGGAGGACACTGTCTTGAAGCATCGAGCTGAGTTTGCCTTTGCTCAGCTTGAGATTGAGAGAGCTCTGACATCTCTGCGTGATGATCTAAGGGTAGCTCGTGGGAATGTTGAGCGGTCTCGGGCTGAGATAACTGCTCTTCAGACCTTGTCGATGCCCACCATCGGGAGCACAAGGCTTGCTGCGAGATGCTTGAGCGCAAGGGCTTTCTTCATCGGAAGAAACAGCGTACTGATGGTACGGCTTAAGCCGACCAACGTAAAACGTGGGATGCGTTCGCATCTTGCGTGGCAGTTCGATCGTGTATGCGTTGCCTAAGCGTTGCAACACACGAAATGAGCCGATGTACTTGGGTAGAAGTTTACTACTACCCAAGTTAGTCACTACATGCTTTGGTAGGGTAACCGTAGACAGTAGGACTAAGTCACCTTTATTAAATAAAAGAGTGCTTGCCCTTCCATTCTTGTCTGCGTTTTGCTTTTGCTTATCCACCGCTTCGGCGATGGAGTCTCGCACAAAACGGACTACCGTTTCACGAGCCAGTATGAATTCATCTGATGAATCGTTAGCTTTAATGCGCTGTGAGTGCACTGCAGCAGCGTCAATCTTTTCTTCCGTGAGGGCCTCCGCGCTCTCACTGGCATCATCTTCTTCGATATCGATGTTGTTGATCTCGGCGTCAAACGCAATGACCTCTTCGTCAGAGAGTGACTAGCGTGAATCAAATCGTTTTTTGCTCGCGCGAGTCCCTCTCCCCCTTAAACCAAAGTTACACTCGAGTAAGGTGGGTACACGCGGATGGCGCAAGCCATTCACGTAAAACGGCGTATGTGTCGTGGAAGTATGCACCGAGTTGTTAATGGCAAATTCTACCATTGGCAAGAACTCACTACAACTCTTAAAGGAGTGTACGTATCCTCTAAGTATCTCTTCGAGGACACGATTGGCTCGTTCCGTCTGGCCATCTGACTCTGGATGATCAGATGTTGACATCTTCAAGCGCGTTCCGAGTGATTTGAACACGGAACGCTAAAAATCAGCAGTGAAGCGTGAATCTCTGTCTGATACGAGTTCACGGGGCAACCCATGAAGTCGGAAGATGGTGTCAATAAAGACACAGGCACAGCCACTTGCTGTGATTGACTCTGGTACAGCCACAAGGTGTACCATTTCGCTGAATCTGTCAACAAATACGAGAATACCCGTATTCCCGCGTGCGTCTTTGGGTAACTTGAAAACGAAATCCATTGAGATGGATTCCCAGCACTCAGCCGGAACCGGTAGAGGCTGTAAAGGTGCACGCAGTGAAGGACTTGATTTCACTCGTTGACAGACTTCGCATGCGAGAACATACGTTCGCGCAAACTGATACTGGCGGGGCCAGTAAAAGTCTCGACTCACCGTGAGATATGTTTTCTTTCGGCCACGATGTCCTCCTATAGGAGCACGGTGATGCTCGAACATGATCCGCAAACGCAGATCAGTATCATCTGGAATGACAACACGTGGTGTGCCACCAGAAACGGCTGTATAATACAGTAACCCGTTGCGAGTAGTGTATCGATCTGATGCAGATCGATACGCAGGCGACAATCGTTTCAATGATTCTCGGGATGGTTGGGAGAGATGTGTCAACAACTTCACAATCTCACCATCTTGGGCGTATGCCCGCCTCACATCATCATGCAACGTTGTAGATGGTACTGAGGACGTCATAACCGCAACAGTGACTGTCTCATTGTTGGGTTTCACGACTGGTTCAAAGTCGGGCCGACGTCAGAGTGCATCAGCGACGATAGTAAGTCGTCCTGGTTTGTACTCGACCGTAAAGTCGTATTCTGCAAAGAATGACAACCACCGCGCCATTCGTTGTGAAAGGTGCGGGCTGTTCACTGGCGTGCGCAATGACGCATGGTCAGTGTAAACAATGAAGGGTCTATCTCCTAATAGATAGAATCTGGACTTCGCGAGTGCATACTTCATGGCAAGGAGTTCCTTGTCATGCACTGGATAGTTCCGCTCAGCTGGTTGAAGCTGACGCGACTGATAGCAGACGACGCGTTCTACTCCTTCAAGATCGTACTGCATTAATGCACAGCCGATTGCGATATCGCTGGCATCACAGACCACATGAAATGATCTGTCCTGATCGGCAATTGCTAGGACTGGGGATTGTATCAAGCTCTGCTTGATAGCGTCAAAGGAGCGCTGACATTCAGCGTTCCATAACCACCTCTCGTTCTTTATCAACAAACGAGAGAGGTGTACAGTCATCTCGGCGTAATTGCGTGAATACTTATGCAAATACGCCGCTAGCCCAAGGAATTTTCGAAGACCTTTGACATCAACTGACACAGGCCAGTCGGTGATCGCCTTGATCTTTTCGGGATCAGGGCGTACACCGTTCTTACCAAAGACGCACCCAAGAAGTGGTATTTCGCTTGCTGCAAATATACACTTCTTGAGGTTTGCATGCGATTGATGCTTTCGCATGATTGTAAGAACCTGTCGGACGTGGTACCTGTGAACCTCAACGTCCGACTTTCCATCCATAGCTCGACTATGGATGAATACGTCATCGAAATAACTCGGCGCAAATTCTCGTACTGGTCTCAACAGATGTGATACACATCTGTTGAACGTGGCAGGGGCATTACTAAGCCCTTGTGGCATTACTAGCCATTCCCAGAGCATGCCGCTAGGCGTGCTCACTGCGGTATAGGGTATATCCCGTTCTCGCACAAGGATTTGATAGAAGCCATCCATGAAATCCATGGACGAAAAGATGGTACTCTTTGACATACCATCAATGATTACGTCCTTCCTTGGTATCGGCGTCTGAGCCGGTACCGTTGCAGCATTCGACTTGTTAAGTGCATGCACAATCCGCCACCCTCCTGCTGCTTTTCGCACACAGAAGGTCGGAGAGCTATGTGGGGAAGTTGATTCCCTCACATGGCCTGCAGCTGAACGATCGGCAAAGCACTTGTCGATCGCAAGTACTCGTTCACGAGGCAGTGGCCACTGCTTCATGACACAGTACTTCGAGCCTGGTTTAAGCTCGACCTCGTGTCGAATACCTTTATCCTTCGGTAATTCGCACGGAACAGTTTCAGGGAATACATCCTTGAATTCAACCAACTCTTCGTAGAGAGGATTTGTCTTGAGCGATTCCCACGATTGGGAGTCATATCGCTCAACTCGTGTCTTTTTATCGAGGACACTCTCGTCCATCGATGAACTACTGAGAACTCTCTCGTTCTCAGTAAACATTGTTGCTGACCGTATGTCGGCTACACACTTGTTGTCAGCGACGAGTACGCAGATCTGCTTGGCTTTGCCACTATACAGATCACGCAAGAACCTTTTATGTTCGAGCGTTGGCAACTGAGTGATCTTCGAAGTCACTTCGGAGGCGCAATCAGATCAAGTGTATAAGCGCCTACGCTTGATCCGTTATTGGCTCGGACATTCAATGTCTCTGTCATTTCCTGGGGACTTATTCCTTCAGGCCTCGAAGGACTTATCCCTCCGACTTCCCGGGGACTTATTCCCGCGGGTTTCGGGGAACTTATTTGCACCGTATCTGTAATATCGGGACTTATTCCCTTCATTTCCTCTAGCTGGGGTTGCGCAACCACAGCGAGATCCTCTACGGAACGACTCTCCATTCGATCTAGGATTATCGTTTCGCTTAACCTGAGTGATCGATTGTTTCTCTTCTAGACGTTCCACGCTAGGGATACATCTTTTTCCCGGTCCACTCGACTTATTCGAGTGGTGGACCTTCGGCGCAGCTTGTGTTTCCTCACATCCGCCGGAACTTTGCTCCGAAGTGTAACCGTTTGTTACACTAAGGTTTTGTGCAGTCGTACTAATGACCGTACCACAAGTGAGACCATCGCACTCACTCGTAGTACATCCACACGCTTGTGGACGCTCCAAAACGTTCATCAGATGGCCATCTGATGAACAAGCGACAGGCATCGTTACTGTTCGATGTTGCCAGTTTACTCGTGGTTCGTACCTTCTGAGCCACGGTATTCCAAGGATGACATCAAATTTGTCATCCGAATCCAATACGATAAAGTCATCGTCATATTGGGTATCTTCTAGCGTATAGTGGATCTTCACTATACGCTTCATGACGGTTACGGATGCGCCTGTCGCAAGACGTACCGTCATCTCGTAGGAGGTGTGTCACATTCACTGAATTTAAAGTGACCATCTTCTAGCGATTGGCGTCGCACAAAATTGTTGGACGCCCCACAATCGACTAGAGCTCGAAGGGACGACTTATTTGTCACTTCGAGTTTCAAGGTAATGAGTGAGATCTCATTACCTAGAGCAGCAACACACAACGTTTGTGTGTTGGGAGCAACCTTCATCAAGAGGCCTACAAATTCTCTTGACGTTGCTGGACCAGTAGGGTGCTCCGCACCTACTGATCCTGTCCGTTTTTTGACGGTCCATCCCGTTGTTGCGTCTTTGCACCAACAGCGGAACCGCGTCCCTGCCCCTCTCTCATGAGTGGACGGTCATTACGCCCAGTGTTGCGAGACACTGGACGAGGGGCACTACACTCGTAAGCGTAGTGTCCTGTCTTCTGACATCTGTTGCATCTCTGCAACTTCTTGTATCCTGTAGAGCGATCCTTCTCGCTCTGTACATAACAGAGTTCCATCGGCTCTGGACCTCCGCCGTCATACCGTCTCGATTGACGATATGATGTCGAGCTGGCGCGAACCTGTCTCAGACTGAAGTCTTCCTGTTCCGCAATGGAAATGGCTTGTTCTAGTGAATCTAGTTCAAGCCGGAACAGGTGAGTCTTGACGGGACCATCCGCAAGACCCTGCATGAACACCGAAACCAACGTGTGTTCATCAACCGGGTTGGAGCTTGTACAACTCGTAAGATGTCGTATACGTTGCGCGTAAGCGTGCACATCACGCTTACCTTGCTTGAGCTTCAAGAGTTCGGTTTGAGCTCTGAACTCAGCTCTAGGCGGTTCAAACGTTTGTCTGAGCCGCGACTTGAAGACTTCCAACGACCCAAACGCATATGGGTCGTGCAACTTGAGCCCCAAAGCCCAAGTCTTGGCACGTCCTGCCAGATTTGACTGGGCAAATGCAACTTGCATATCCCCGTCGTCGATGCGACGCGCCCTTATGGCGTCATCCAATTCGACGAACCATCTCAAGAGGGAGTCCTTTTCGACTCCCCTATACTTGGACATGTCAATCTTCAAGGACTCGGGTCGACGCGAGTGCATCGACCCACTAGCAGCAGCCTGCTGCTGTCTCAACAGTTCAAACTGTTGAGCACCCTGTTCTCTCAACAACTCTGCTTGTTGAGAACCTTGTTGGTGAAGCAAGGCTACTTTCTCGCGTTCGACGTCAAGTTCATTTTGAATGAACTTGGCGATAGTAGCATGTTGGGCATCTCTATTGAGAGCCTCTAGCATGACGCTAACAGCATGGATGCCCATGGTTGAACCCATCCGTTCAACCGCATCCCATTCGACATCGCTCAAATGGGAGTAGCCGTCACGCGTAGCGTGAAGGCTTTGGTCATATTCATCATCCAACATGTTCATGTTAGATGTTAACGTGGTCCTTGGACGGACTACGAAGTGCTACCAGGTGTAACGGGGCACCCTGAAGCTTGTACTGATGACAGTACAAGCTACTTATTCTGATGCCAGAATAAGGCGGTGCCTCGGAACTTCACTTACACTGGTACGTGCAGAGGAAGACGGTAAGAAGAAGCGAGTACTTGGTTAAAGTAAAAAGTAGAACTGTATTTATCATAGTTAATGTCTGCAATAAATCACTATTGATCCTCATCTAACTATGTCTAAATACAAATGTGTAAATCAACTATCTGCTCACCACTCATTGCGTGCGTCTGTCGTGGTGCGTCTTCGTTGGTTGATATAATGGCCAATTAGGAACTTCTCGTAAGTGCTGCAGAATATTTGTCCTTATGACAATATTCTGAGATTATAACTCTCATAGTTATATTCTATTAACAATTTCTTATAAATTGTTATGCAACGATTCACCCCGTTTCAGTATGCGGTCAGGGATATTTTTAACGTGGTGGCACCGGAATTACAAGACTGACCACATGCATCAACACCGATGAAGTTAAGTTCCAGCGAGCAGCGACGTCTCGAAGCGTGGAAATATTGATCAATGAAGCTTCTCAAAAGCGATCTTGACTTTTAGTGGAATAGTAAACCTCTTGATGAGGCTTTTAAGCAATCGAATGACGACAAAAAGCAATCGTCTTCACCGAATGGTAAAGTCTCGAGACCTCAGTCGTTTAAGGTTGTATTTTGGATCGTCACTGGGGGCAAATATAAATCTACACAAGCATCTTTAAGTGCCTTGACGCATACTTTCGCAGAAAGGTTGAATACTGTCAATAAATAATCAATTTGACATTGCATGTATAAATTAAACGTTGGCGCTTGTATTTTACGTCCTCTTGAGTGCCAAATAACCAATGGGCTCAAGTTTAATCGAATATTGACGTAATGCACAGTCGTTGGAAGTGGAGTTGTCATGGCGGACACTCTCTTCTGGGTCGACGCCCCAGCTGGTAGGTTTAATAATTATACCGGGTGATTTTGTGAAGACACTTGTAACGGGGCACCCTCAAGCTTGTACTGATGACAGTACAAGCTACTTATTCTGATGACAGAATAAGGCGGTGCCTCGGAACTTCACTTACACTGGTACGTGCAGTGGAAGACGGTAAGGAGAAGCGAGTACTTACTTTAAGTAAAAAGTAGAACTGTATTTATCATAGTTAATGTCTGCAATAAATCACTATTGATCCTCATCTAGCTATGTCTGAATACAAATGTGCATATCAACTATCTGCTCGCCACTCATTGCGTGCGTCTGTCGTGGCGCGTCTTCGTTGGTTGACATAATGGCCTATACCAACCAATTAGGAACTACTCGTAAGTGCTGCAGAATACTTGTCCTTATGACAATATTCTGAGATTATAACTCTTATAGTTATATTCTATTAACAATTTCTTATAAATTGTTTTGTAACGATTCACCCCGTTACATACATGATCAGCATGTGTTTAGATTCTATATCAAGCAACGATGACCGCTGCTTTGGTGCCTTTTGTACAATTTCTGAGCTGCAATTTACTGGATCAAATGTCAGTAGATGTAGCATTGTGTCGGTGGCTTTAGCGGAACCCTGAAGATAAATGTGTGCCCCGTAGAACCGATGATTCATGAAACTCAAGTACGTAAATGGATTGCACAGCCGCTGGACGCGTCTGACCGCTGTATTAGGCAGAAAATGTGGCGCTGTTCAGAATTAGATCGGTCAATCGCTCACGCTTGATTATCCTCAATGACGAACAGGCTCTTAGCTGTGGTCAGGGGGCTCGTTTAAAGCTCATATTAGGCAAATTTATAACTGTGCCAGATATTTAGGAAATGTAAAGAGAAACAAACGCGGCTTAAACGCAAAAAATCCACAGCTCTTCGTTTCACCGCAGAGACCTAAATCGGAACATGAGGCCAAATCACGCTTCGAGCGATTTTAGGTTGATGCAATTAAAACATAATTTGCGTGCCAAGTCCACAGATTAAACACTCTGGATTACTATGGCTGCCGACCAAGCCAAAGACCGAGGTAACCGTGCCTTCTCCGCGGGCCTCTACGCCGACGCCGTGGCTTCCTTCTCTGAGGCGCTGGCCGTTTCCCCCAGTGCCCCCAACGCGCACATCTTCTATAGTAATCGCTCGGCCGCACAGCTGAAGCTTCACAAGGCCGAGGAGGCGCTGAAGGACGCGGACCAGTGCATCGCGCTCAAGTCCGATTGGCCCAAGGGGTACTCGCGTCGCGGGTCTGCTCTGTATGCTCTAGGGCGTTACACCGACGCTTATCGAGCATACAAGGATGGCCTGAGTCGTGAGGCATCGAATGAGGGGCTCCTTGAAGGGCTACGAGCCGTGGAGGCCAAGTTATTTTCTCAGACAGCCGGCACGTCATCTCGAGCGTCTTCTTCAGCTTTTACGCTGTCCCCCGCCACCAATTTGAAGAGTTTTCTGATTGGCAGCAAAATCAACATGTTCCAGCTGTTCCAGTTCACTCTGCGCAGTCTCTTGCTGCTCTTCTTCGTCAACTTTTGGATTCCAGTGCTACTTTCGAGTTACGTGGCGTACGTCAACTTTTTCAAGGTGGCGCTAATTAATCACGCCAGCTACCTAGCGTTTATCCATGGGGTACCCAGGTGGAGTGCGATGTACGCAGAGCGTCTATTTCTAGACCCGGCAACGCAAGCGCTCTTCTTTTGCCTCGTCTTCTTCTTCTCGCCTCCATACAGTCTAGCGATGGTGCCAGTCTTCTTGCAGGAAATGGTCCACTACTCCACGTATCTGGGGTCATTGCTGCAGGTGCTGGGCTTGGCAGATACGATGGTGGTGACGCTCGTGACAAGCAAAGCGTTGGTACCGCTCACTGCTTTAATCATCAGGGATTCGAGCTTTCCGACATTAGCGACGAGTGCTAAATGGACCAAGCTGTACTCCCGCATTCCACAGGTGGCTGCGAACATTGATCTGGCAATCGGGTTTGCGATGATTGTTGAGCTGCTCCTGCCGTCACGGAACTTCTTGCTGCTTGTGCTGTACTGGCAGGTGATGCGTGTGCGGTACATGATCTCGCCGCAGCTGCAGGAAGCTTTCCGCTCGCTGCATGCTACGATTCTCACTATTGTGAATCACCCGCGCTGTCCTGCTGCGATCCCTTCTATCTACGAGAAGATCCGTGCGTTGGTTGCCAAGATGGGCGACGCGGCCTCGCAGCAACAGCAAGATGCGCCCGGTGCTGGAGGTTTAGTCTCGCGCTGCAACGTCATGTAGACGAAGAAGCCGCGCAAGATGGTGCTTGTCCTGGCGATGTGGGAATGTAAGGGAGACGATACAAGTGCGCCATCGTTTTTACTACAGTGAGTTGTCTACTGGAGGTCTCAGGTGCGACAGGTAGTCAGTCGCGCGAGCAAATGAAAGCGAAGCCATCGTTATGCAGCATATGCGAGCACCTGTTCGATACAGCAAGCTCTTATGTTCTATCCGACAATTCTTAGTTGCCATTGTAGTAATTTGGCGGTGAGCGTACAATCTACGCGGTGCCTATCATTGCAGAAGAAACAGTGCAAGCTACCAATCTTTACCTTCATGTCGACATGACTAGCGTTAGAGTGATCTGCAGACGACTGGCCAGCATCATCGTGACTATTGATACGCTCTTGTATTGACGACCTGGGCATCGAATGTGTAGCGCATTTCTTCTAAGTTACATTTCAGTATGGGCTTGATACAGATGACACGGTTGCTGTGTAGTAAGTATGATGCTACTTCAAGAATCACCTGAATGCGCTTTCCCGCTAGTAATCTTGCGGCGCAAAGAGATAGCTCGACATCTCGATGACACACTCTAATGTATTCAATATGCGGAGATGTTCTTAATCCTGTCGTCTAAAACTACCCTAGCGTTGGTAGCAGCGCCTTCTCTTCAGCAGCTCATGCGGCGGTGACGGTAGAGAAGGATCCCACACGAGAGCGCTTGGCGGCTGCGGGGCCTGCACAGCCACTAACCGAGAGGGCGCGCATACGTTTCGTCGGCGAATCACTCAAGGTGTCGGTCTCGCCACTTGTCGCGGGCAGAACTGTTGGCGAACTGATTTCAAGGAGCAGCTTTTTGATTTGCTCTTGTTCCCCTTCCTCCTCCTTTCTTTTCATTTCCTCCGTAGCCGACTCGTCCTTCTTTGTTGACGCCGCTTTCTTACTGCCATTCTTTTCCTTTCGATTGGCCTTGTAGAAAAAGTCAAGCAGCAAACCCACGGCGTTCGCGTCTTCTTCATCTCCCTCTCTGTCATCGCCCCCTGACTGGTACATCCGGGGCTTGAGCGGCACAGGTCGAAATCTTTGGCCTGACAGAACTGGTCGCAAGTCAAACTCGTCCGTAGAAAGTATTGGCTCCTCTCGGTTTTCTTTCAGACGCTCAATGAAGGCAGCCTCGAGTGCTACCAGCTCAAGCTGTGCCTGCATAATTCTTATTCGAGACTCTGGAGTGGGACTGCAAGGACGAAAGACCTGCTTGCCAATGCATTCACCGCCAGTGAACTTCTTGGTGATGCGCATTGGCTCGCAGTTCAGCTTCTGCGAGAGGTAGAGACGCAGCATCGTGCCTCTCTCCAGCGGGAGTAGCCCCTCCTTGAAGTAGTGGGTCAACCGGGCGGCGTACCGACTTTCTTCCTCAGTCCACTTGCCCTTTCGAAGCCCTGGTCGAGCCTTGCTCTTCGTCGAACGACTCGAGAGTTTGGGCGTGCGCACGCGTTTCGGAACGCTCTTCTTCAGCTCCTTTTGATTATCCAGTGGTGAACACAGCTCCGGCTGCTCGTTCTTGATAGTGCAGACGTTGAGAGGGTACATCATCGAATGCTGTGGCTCGCGCTCTGGTTCCTTCATACTGAACGAGGACGACGTGGCGGACGCAATGGAGACGAGGTCTGGCCGCGAATTGGGGATGATAAAACGTAGCGGCACGAGCGGCGGCGCCTGCGCGATGGCATCGAACGCTGCTGAAACGTGGGAAATGGCCGACTGCGGCTGCATTGTCGGTACATGTGGTACAGGCAGTACCGACGAGATTTGTGGTGCTGGAAAGCTGCTACTGCTGCTGGCAGAGACGCTCGTGCTGACACTGGATGAGCTGCTGCTGTTGCGGCAGGGGGGTAATCCCTGGTGAATTAACGACCTCATGTCCATCGTGGTTGTGGGAAATCCTCCAGCGTGTCGTACGATGCCAGTTTGGGTGGCTAACGTGATCGGACAATTGGGAAGTGTGTGTGTGTCTCTCTCTCCACCTACCGCGCGTCCTACGTATTTCGTTCAAGTGCTGCCCAATGATGTCAACTAGACGCTTTTCATCCAATCGGGACAGGCCGTGTCGTCAATTGAGGTATTGAAGTGAAGGACGGACGCTGGCGATTGGTTGAAGCGAAACAGAAGAGGCGGTTCTATCACGTAGCAACTTCAAGAACAAGACAGCCGAATAAACGGGGGGAGGGATACTGGCAAGCGTCGACACAACATGGCCAGCAACTCCGTATTCTGCTTGATGTGGATTCTTGGCCTGTACTGGGCTAACATGAAAACGCTTGCGTTTGATCTAAGGAGAAAAAAAGGTGCTAGAGGGAAGGCTGTTCAACTAGTTTCTACGCGACATTGAAGCGGAGCCAGATCTTTCGTGCTTTTTAGCCAATGCGACGCAACATGAGGTGGTCTCCACCTATTTTATACGCGGATAAGTAGGCATTGATTGTTGACTTAGTGAGACGACGTGACAGGAATAGTCTCACCATTGGAGGACCTCCACTCCAAATAGACTGCATCTTTCAGCACGTGCGAGGTCTCCGATGTATCGACACAAGAAATTTTAGTTATATTGAACACTGAATGCTCGGCACGGTAGACAGCTCGATACCAACACGTGAGCGACTGCAACATCGAGCTTTTGTACGCTACCCCTTTATGCATAGCATAACAGATCTGCTTGCAACACTCCTCTGTCACTAATGGAAATGACTCATCTTGTTGTGTCTCGCGAATGCATCTTGTGCCAAACACGGGATAATGTTGCTGGGGGAGGCAATGTACGCGTGCAGATTGTGAAACGATGGCCACCCGTCCCAGATACTGTGGCCTCTTAGTTACCTAATTCGTCAATGTGCGCGTCATGTCGCGCGTAGCCGGATGCTGTTTAAAGTGATGGGCAATTGATTTTGATAGCTTGGAGATCACTTAATACGACTTTCCATTCAAGGCCTACGTACTACACCGAGAAAAACCCGCTATTTGTTGCTTGCAACCGAGTCACAGGACTTTATAGTTGTACGCATCTCAGTTCACGCCTTCAATCCTCGGTCTACTGATTATCAGTACTCGTGACAAGGCCAGTAACTACCTATGCTGCCGTTGATAGGAGCAGAGAGAACCGCGAAGTTGCCGCAACGAGGCGCCTTTGTAATTTACGGCCCTGCGACCGCATTGCCTACATGAGCACACCTGCCCCTCAGTCGACACTTTGCCGACCCAGAATAATAGGTCCGGTCATGGGACCTCGTCGGTGCACGGCTCAAGTGACGGCTCTATCTCGGTCCAGCAGCCCGTTTCAGCCGATTTTGGCGCGGTATTGGATTCCGAAATGGTGCAGCGTCTTTTGGCTATGATCTTGCTGCTGGTGTGTCTGCCAGAACGTTTTAGTCTTGTGAGGTCTATAATCTCGTGCTGGAAATGAGGGCCCTGAAATGTCCGTGCGGTCACTTTTACCTAATGATATGTCGCTTAGTCCCTGGTGGCTAAATTGTCCATCGTCGCTGGGTGCTGGTGCACGGATGCCATTATTTAGTGTCAGACTGTAGCTGCTGTGTCGAGGTTATGGTCGGTATCTAACCGATGCCAGTTCTTTCTACTGTCAATAATTATGGAGTGATGGCGAAGACCAGCCCCAAGCGTTACAAACCACAACTTTTCATGCCGTAAAAGTTCTTTGGATGTCACAATCGCTTCACTATTCGATGATAGCGTCACACGGCTCGAATCAGTAGGTGCGTGGTGGTTGGTGTTGAGCAAGTTAACGTGTGGTCGATTCCTAACTCGACGGTTTCGATAGCCGGTGGAGATAGAGTCGAAAGAATTTGAATTACGTATTCGAAGCAAATTTAAAAGCCTTTTTTTGTAGCTAGCGTTAATTCTTAATTTACGACTACCTGAGCGTAGAATAACCCGTCAGCGTCGAATTTCATTATCGTCTTTTGTATTGTATCAACCACCGCCCGATGGCTCATTCGGCAATGCTGCGACAAGCCAACTGGTTGAAGTGCTAAATTATGTGCTTGTTAAGGTTGAAGGTCGTGAAGGCTTGGTGACTCGTACGGTCCGATTTAGGCGGCGATATACCAGCAAAGAAGTATTTCTAGCATTCCCGTATCACCAGCACTTGCAGCGGGCATCACCTTGTAAGTTTACTTGTCTCGTCTACGCGTTTCTCAATCTTCGCGCAAGTGCCTTGACAAATTGCCGACGTCGTTAACGTATCTAGTTCATCGAATACTAGTACTTGTCATTTCAGTGAGCGTTCCCAGCACCGTTTTGCGCAATTTTGATGAACCATAAGAGTGTCACAAGTGATGCCTTTGACGGATTCCTTGAGATTGGGCATCGATAATATCTAACTGTGGTATGTGGGCTCTATTCGTAAGAAAATATGAGTTTCCCACCATTTATCAACGGAAAACCGAATTTCTGGAAGTGCCTCCAAAAAAAGTATTAGATTTCAGCAACTTGCCCACGAAACTGTAACCATGCCAAAGTGCTTGCAGCGGATCAAATGCGGCACTGATCGGCTATCCGTCAGCTCAAAAATACAACTTTCGCCAACCTTCTACTCATATTCTACTCCAGCGCCAGTGACGAATCACACTACGACAATAGTAAAGACCAGTGGCATTCGTTAAAAACCATTCGTCAAAAATTGACACCGAGGTGTGGGTCCTGCCTATCAGCAGCAGCTGTCCAATGTGAGTGTACATGTGAGTGAATGTCAGCCTTTTACTGCTGTGATAGTGTACTTTACCTGGTGACAAGTTCATATTAGAAATCGTGCCTCCACTTCAGCATATAGCTGTCAGCATAGCTATCTCGAGTACGACACAAGGCTGGACTTAATTCGGGATCAACCCCATCGTCCGCGTTCTCGTAATGCGTCACAGTAATTCCATTTTTCAATACAGTAGACTGCACCATCACGCTGGGGTGGTTAGTCTGAAGCACCAGGTCCGACAACACGTGCACGCTGTCGTGCCGATAAATGCTCACGGACACGCCGTGCCGCTCACGCAAAGTGGGGACCAAGAGCTGCGTAAAGCCTGCTGCGACCTCGCTCGTTAAATTTGCCAGCCGCAGTGGCGTGGCCCGACCTGTGCCTCGGATCGCATTGTGCAACCAGTCCGTGAGCATCATGACCTTCGATTTGTCAGCACTCCAATGATCCAGCAAACACCGAATCAACGGTGAATTCAGGTCGCCCGGTGGCGCGGGAAATGGTGCTGTCTCCTCAATCCATTCGCCACTTTCGTCGACAACCACGCGTGTTCGTTCAATTTGATTCTCTCGATCCTTGAGATCGATGGCAGCAAGAGCTGCAACACACTTGTCCAATTGCTGTTTAAGAAGAGAAACCTCTCTTTGGGCAGACTCGTTGCTTTCCTCTTGCGCTTTCTGCGAGGCCACTGCGGCACACCATTGAACCTTTGTGTGGCGCAGCATCTCTTTCAGCAACTTATACTTCTCCGTGACAACCTGCATCTTGCGATCCAGCCGTGCATTCACAGACTTCATCGAATCGCCACTGCTACTTATTGTATCCGATTCTGCCCAGCCACTAATACTATTACTACCCACTCGCCTGAACGCCCGTTCCAGCAGCTCTTCTTCAACAGTCTCGGAAAGTCGGTGCGGTATATCCATGCTAGCCCGAAGATCACGAAGCTCGGCCTCAAGCTTCATGTTTGTTTCAAGGAGCACATCACGCACTGTAATAGTCGGAACATGTGCGTCAGCCTCCTCTGGTTGCTGAAAGCATGTACAATCCGCCGCAAATGGACGAGACTCTGCGATCTTCTTGTGCATCAAGTTCATCGAACGAAGGCTGTCCAATACGGCTTGCTCTTCCATCCTCTCATCACGTAACGTTTCATTTACATCTCGCAGTCTTTCGTTCTGGTTTTCGAGTACTTCAATGCGAGCGATACACTCTGGCAGATTGACCAATTTGCGACGTAGTGAATCAACCTCTTTGCGTAAACTCTTGACCTCCAACGCAAGCGCTACATTCTCCTCCGATGCTACAAGTAGTCGGTGTTGCAGCTTATCGTAGTCGACGAGCGTGAAAACACTTTCTTGATCCACGTCGTATGTGGCTGCGGGATTCGCTACAGCAAAGTTCTGCTCCGAAGGCCTCCCTTTTGCAGATTCCGCTCTCCCAAATTTCAGCTCCAACTCTAAGTCCGCAGTCTGGTTCTCAGCCAACGTCTTGGCAGCTTCTGTCTCACTCATCTGCTGCATCATATGACCTTCTCTTACCAGCAAATCCTGCACAAGTGCTGATTTAGCCTTAAGGTCGTTATAAAGCGTGTTTGTTTCCAGCAGCAATTCCTTCCGGATCTCTATGCAACTAATCAGTTCCTGCTCTTGAACTGCCAATTGGGCTTGTAGCTTTGGCTGCTCGCTCTCCAGCACCGCCACGTGCTCTCGCAATGCACCCACCTCTTCAGTAAGCGCTTGATTGGTCTCCAACAGTCGAATTCCCACACGTGCAGCCTTGCGAAGAGCATCCTCTTCGTCTAGATCGGTATCGTAACACTCGGAAGCGCGAACTAATTTATTGTACAAGTAAGTATAGATAGAGAGTTAGAGCTCCTACAGCAGAGTCAATTCGTAACATGTACACAGACATTTGCATTGGTTGCGGTACATTATAAACGGAAACGTACGTGTATAAGAGCAAGGCATGTCGTCGTCCATCTGGAAGGGCGAGGACAGTAACCCCTCCACAGTGTTCATAACAAACACGAGGACTGTCTCTAGCGAAAACCGTTGTGCAGCTGCGCTGAATATTGTTAGCACGCGAAGAACTTGTGAGACTTTATTGAAAAAACGCTTTCTTCTTCATGGAGGTGATACGCTCCGAAATATATCACATTAAATAAGAATAAAGAGGTCACCACGACAGTTTTTTCTGTCGCTGGTCGAAGAAATGCCTTCTCTGATAAGTATACATTTTAGAATAACCAGATCTTGCCGGACATAACCTGTAGCGCCTCTGGTCATACTAGAATCAACATCTTTTTTATCGTAATGATACCTTCGAGCAGTAAGACGACTCCCACGAGCGAACGTTACGAAGAAATGACCGCGGCGCTCAAGAAAGAGCTACGGCACCGCATCACATCCGCGACTCAAGCGCTTTCTGATGCTGAGGTGAAGGCGCAAAGCTTCCTCTTGGCTGAAAAAGTATGCGCACTGCCAGAGTTTGTGCGTGCCCGTGGGGTCAGCGTCTATCTAGAGATGCCCAAGGAAGCGACCACGTCGAAGCTTCTGGAAGCCGCTTTTGCATCTAATAAGAAGGTGTTTGTGCCTAAGATTTTGGGCCCGTCAGCAGATGATCTCATGATGTTGCAGACAATGGCGATGAAGGACGTCCGCAGCTTTTCAAAGGTATCATCATACTGCTCACGTAGAGTTGCAGTCTACCGACTGTGCAATAATCTGATTCGCCGCAATGAATGCTGGAACTCATGTAGGACAAGTGGCACATTCCAGATCCGCCTTTACTAATGGATTGTGGCATACCACGAGACGACGCCCTACAAGGCAACGAACTCGAACTCGTGCTGCTGCCCGGCGTAGCTTTCGATCGTCGAGGAGGACGTCTAGGCCACGGGAAGGGGTATTACGGTGGGACGATCATCGAAGTGGCTACATGGAATTGTCCGGGTTTTGATGCTGGTTTTTAAAATGTTACTGTCAATGCTGTAGATTCGTTCCTTCGTCGACTGGCGGCGCACTATGACGCCATCGGACGATCTCCTCCTGTTACAGTCGTACGTGCAAGTTGAATGATGTTTTATAGGTGACCAATGGAGGTACCATGACTATACGTGTAATCGCAGGGTCTATGTCTAACACCGCAGCTTGTGAAGCATGTGCCATTGGCATCGCATGACTACGTGCTCGATCTGGTTGTCACACCTGAGGAAGTCATCCGTGTCAGAACCGATATGCTTTCTCGCTTAGGCTGAGAGGCACTTGCCCCATAGTTTGATACCATTGAAACCGCGTCTTTTTCAACAAGCTGCGTCGTATTTTGCGACCCGGCCTCTCGTCCTAGATAGTGCGTCCGTACGTTTAAACGAAGAAACTCTAACTTGGCTACCGTTTGTTCAGCACCTGGTATTTATTTGGGGTGTTGTTATTCAACCACGCGTTTTGGTATTTACACCGCATGACAAAACAAGGATGTAACTTAAGTACGCTTTTTAGTGCAATTTTGCTAATTCCTCTACACCACTCACCGTGCAAAAATGTTAAAAGTGAGACAAAGCATCACGTGTGTACTGTAACGGGGCACCCTTTGTTAGGGGTGCCACGAAACTTCACGTACACTAGCACGTGCAGAGGAAGCTAAGATACCGAAACGACTCGCTATAAGTAAAGGTAAAAAGAGAACTGTTTTTATTAGAGTTAAGCTATCAATATAACCTTAAAATTTATCTAACTTTATTAATCTACGTCGTCGTATGACGACAACCGGCTCACCACTCATTGCGCGCGTCTAGCAGCGATTGGTGGTAATCTATGGTTGATATGTCTTTTATCGACCAATCTTTGTGCAGCGCGTGAATATTATTCAGAAGGGGATAATATTCCTTCAATATTTATCCATCCCGGATTGTATCGGTAGAACATTGTCATGCTAGACAATACCTCTATTGACACCGTTTGGTGTCGATTTCATGTAACGGGCTACCCCGTTACATCATCCCCCCTAACCATCAATCACCCGTTATGTGGACTAGAATTGAATGGGACAAGGTGACCACCGTTGAATCACCCTGGGAAAGGGAGCACTTGTTGGTCAAATTCCATTTATTTGCCAATCCAACGCATGGTTTCCAAAACCACGCGAGCTGCTTTTGCAGCAGCAAGAAGGGCGGCTGCAAGCATGCGTGCGGCCACGGAAAGTGCCTCTCACGCTACAGCAGCAGGCGATTCGTCGCCTGTTGTTGTGAATCGTCCACGTGATGAGTCACCAGGTGCGGCAGGTAGATCCGCTGCGTCTGCAGCGGGTACTGCGAGTCGATATTAAAACGAGTTTAGGATAGATATCATCTATTCTGGCGAGTCGGATGATGCATCCGACTCGAAGGCGACTCCTCACGCCTTGGGATCACCTGGGGTAGGACACTGCAAGAGCCAGGCTGATTGGATCTGGTCAGCGCGGCGGTATCATGACCGAGATCTTCGGATCGAGTGATCATTCCGATGAATGTCCGCCTCACGCAATTCCGTCTTTTGATAGGAAGCGTGGGGATGGTGGTGATGCACCCATGCATCACCACGAGCGAAGTAATTTAAGGGATCGGGGTAACGCTGGTGCCTGTGCTCATGCTGGCACCAATCAAGAGGCTAGGGACCGAAATGTCCTGCGTCACGCTCCCCAAGTGGAGTCTCCATGGATTCCGTCATCCAAAGAGTTAGATCGGATGGCCGGCACGACTACCGAACGGGATCGAATCCCGTTGTTCGACTGTAGGAGGATCTTTCCTCCTAGTTTCAGCACGGAGAATATCCGTACTCAGGAAGAATTCTTCACCGATACATTTTTCAAACATCGGTGGTTCAATGGCAGCCGTGTTCGGGACGGCAAAGCCTTGGTGCAAGGATAAAATGCCCTCATCCACAACATCGAGTGTAGTGGCCGTGAGGCCTGGCTCGCCAAACTTGATGCAGCTCGCATCAGGTTTGAGAAACGCAACCTAGTTGGGGCGCGATACAAGTTGCACCGGATTTTAATAGAGGCAGGGCTACCCTGTCTCTCGTGGGGTGATTCGTGTCCAAGTTGCCTCGAAAATTCGAACCGTGCCCCTGGGAGGACTACCTCCCTAAAGATCCCTACTGGAGGGCGCGCATATCTTCTGAGATGGCCGAAGGGATCATTAATTTGCAATCCCTGTACTCGCGTTCGGGGAGGTCGTTTTCCGACGGCCCTTCTTCAAACGCAGCGGATGGGTCTCGTCATACTGATCGACAAGACCAATCCCATCATCAATCAGCTGGGCACGAGGCTCCCAGCTGTCCCACGCCGGTGGATAGCCACGCCAGCGGAAGAGGTAGCTCGTCCGGACGCCATTCGCATCGCGATGGTTCAAATTACGCTCCACTAGGAAGCGTTGACCACCGCTTGAGTCCACCAAAGGATGTGGTGGCGGCGGGAACACCTGATCCGGCTCGAGGGTCGGATCATCTTGATATTCAAGAGCCGAACTGTGCAACGGATCAGTTACACGACGACTTGACTCATGGACGAACTCGGCGTCATGAGCTTGAGGATCTTGTGAGGGATAATCATAATTCCCTAACGCACGATCGCTCGAACGATCGTACCGCTTTTGCGCGCGCGCAACTTGAGATCGAACGTTCGACTCGTTCTATTCGTGACGAGCTGGCTGTAGCTCGTCGAGACATCGCTGAACTGCGTGAGAAGGTCGCTTCTCTAGTCGACCAGACTGCACCATTAAACGGGACCACTCGAATGTGGTCTCGGCTATCGACCGCGGAGGTGTTCTTCGCCTCTCGAAACGGGCTCGTACGGATAGAACGGGCGGAGACGTCAAACGTAAAATTTAGGATGCGTACGCATCCTACGAGGCAGTTAGATAGTGTATGCGTTGCCTATGCGGCGCAATACACGAAATGGACCAATGTACTTGGGCAGTATTTTGCTGCTGCCCACGTTTGTCACAGCGTGTTTTAGTAGATTAACTGTAGACAGCAAAACCAAGTACCCTTCATTTAAATAAAAAAACCGTCTTGAAAGAAGCGGACAGCCGCTTCGCGTGTCAGCAAAATTCCTGTGCTGATTCATCCTTTTCTATAGCAGTACGCTTCGTGTGCAATGCTAATAGATCGTTGTCTTGACCAGTGAGGGCGTAATCGTCTTCACTGAGGCAGTTATTGGCGATGCTGAATATTTAGTATCGTCGTCATCATCATCGATGTCGATGTGATCGACATCGGCATCTATCGCGTCGACATCATTGTCGACGGGTGATGAGCAAGAACCAGATCGGTTTTCGTTCCAGCGAGTCCACCCCTCCCTTAAACTAAAGTCCACTCTAAGGCGGTGGGTAAACGTGGATGGCTTAGGCCGCTCACGAAGAATGGTGTACGCGTTGTCGACGCATGCACCGAGTTGTTGATGGCGAATTCCACCATCGGCAACTACGGACTGCCGACACTCCGCCGGAATAGATAGAGGCTGATAGGGGGCACGAGATGAAGACACAGGCCTCACCCGTTGGCAAACTTTGCAACCGTGAATGTACTTGCGCACAAACACATACTGACGAGGCCAGTAGAAGTCACGACTTACCGTGAGGTAAGTCTTTTCTCTATTGCGATGCCCACTTGTTGGGGGCATCGTGACACTCATGCATGATGCACAGTCTCAAATCATTATGAGCGGGTACGACGACTCGAGGTGTGTCGCCGTTGACTGCTGTATAGTACAGCAGTCCATCACGAACTGACTACCGTTCAGTTGAAGAGCGGTATTGAGACGTCAAGCTTTTCAAATCTTGACTGCACGGATTAGATATGTAATCCATCCATCGCAGAAGAGACTCATCTTCTGGGTATGCTTTTCGCATGTCGTCGAGCAGATTCGACAACAGAACACTTACTGATCGTGTTGCAACAGTGGGATCACCCCTACTGTTGGGTTGAGCAGTCCGCTACAAATCGGGCCGACGCAAAAAAAGCATCAGCGAAGACATTAAGTCGTCCTGGTTTACACTCGACGGAGAAGTTGTACTCCGCGAAGAAAGACATCCACCTTGGCTTTCGTTGCGAGAGATTGGACTGTTTGCAGCCGTGCGTAATGACGCATGGTCGGTGTAAACGATGAAGGCCTATCTCCTAAGAGATATACACGAAAATTGTCCAGTGCATATTTCACGGCAAGGAGCTCCTTGTCATGCACCGGGTAATTAAGCTCAGCTTCTTGCAGCTGACGCGATTAAAAACACACGACGCGCACAACGCCGTCTGAGTTGTACTGCACTTACGCGCAATCGATTGCAAAATCGCTGGCGTCACAGACCACATGGAATGGTCTGTCTCGATTTGCAATCGCCAACGTAGGCGATTGTATCAAGCTTTTCTTGATACCTTCAAAAGAGTGCTGACACTCAGCGCTCCATGACCACCTCTCGTTTTTCTTTAATCGACGAGAGAGATGTACAGTCGTCTCGGCATGGTTGCGCGAGTATTTGAGCAAGCACGCCGCCAATCCGAGGAACTTTCGAATTCCCTTGACTTTGACTGGCACAGGGCAGTTGCTAATCACCTTGATCTTTTCCAAATCAGGGTACACGCCGTTTTTACCCACGATGCATCCAAGAAGTGGTATTTCGTTCGCTGCGAATAAACACTTCATGAGGTTCGCGAACAACTAATGCTCATGCATAATTGTAAGAACCTTCCGGACGTGGGTTCTATGAATGTCCACGTCCGTCTTTCCATCCACAGCCCGGAAATGGACAAAGCCGTCGTCGAAGTAACTCGGTGTGAAATCGCGCACCGATCGCAACAGATTCGTAACACATCTGTTGAACGTTGCGGGGGCGTTACTTAGCCCCTGTGGCATCACTATCCACCCCCATAGCATACCAATGGGGTGCTCACTGCTGTGTAAGGGATATCCCGTTCACGCATGAGGATCTGATAGAATCCATCCATCAGATACATGGATGAAAAGATAGTACTCTTTGACATACCATCAATGATTACGTCCTTCCTCGGTATTGTCGTTTGAGCCGGTACCATTGCAGCGTTCGTTTTGTTGAGCGCGTGCACTATCCTTTTCCCACCTGTGACCTTTAGCACACAGAAGGTCGGAGAGCTGTGTGGGGAAGTTGATTCCCTCACATGACCAGCCGCTAAACGATCGGCAAAGAATTTGTCGATCGCTGGTACCTGTTCACGAGGCAGCGGCCACTGCTTCATGACACAGTATTTCGAACCGGATTTCAGTTCGATCTCATGTCGAATACCTTTATCCTTAGGCAACTCGCATGGCACGGATTCCGGGAAAACATCCCTGAATTTAACCAAATCCTTATGCAAAGGATTTGTCTTTAAAGACTCCCAAGATTTGGACGTGTATCGCTCAATCCGGGTCTTCTCATCGAGGAAATTCGCGTCTATCGATGAGCTATTGAGAACCCATTCGTTCTTAGCAAACACTTGTACCGACCAAATATCGTCGACGTACTCGTCCTCTGTGGCGAGTACGCAGATCAGCTTGATCTTTTTACCAAGCAGGTCTCGCAAGAATCTCTTAGATTCTATCGTTGGCAACTTGATTACCTCCAAAGCTGACTTCGGAGGTGTAACCAGATCAAGTTTATAAGCGCCTACACTTGGTTCTGGATTCACCAAGACATTCAGTGTCTCGGTGATTTCCTGGGAAAACACATCCGCACGTGGTTGGGTCTCCATACCCTCAACATAACTCTCTTGGGAGTTATCCTTCTCAGGAACGCTGGAACTTTATTTCACTACGTGTACTGTTTGCAGGTGTACTACCACAGTCATGTCCTCTTCGATCGACTCTCTTTCAGTCGATCGGGTTTGCTCTACGGTCGACTCTCTGATAGTCGATCTTGCTTCAACGTGTTGTTCATCCTGAACAACACTTGTCTCTCTTCTTGGATGCACCCTTCTTGGTGTGCATCCGTGCTCCAGTCCACTCGATCTCTTCGAGTGATGGACCTTCGGCGCAGCATGTGTCTCTACACAGGTGCCGGAAGCTGGTTCCACAGTGCAGTGGCCTTCTACACTGTGATCTTGTGTCGTCGTACTAACGAACTTACCAAAAGTGAGGCCATTGCACTCACTCGTAGTACATCCACACGCTTGTGTACGCTCCAAGAAGTTCATCAGATGGCCATCCGATGAAAAAACGGCAGATACCTTCACGGATCGATACTGCCAGCTGATTTATGACTGGTACTTTCGAGGCCATGGCAGACTGAGGACGGCATCAAATTGTCATTTAAATCCAGTACGATGAATTCATCACTGCACTAATATCCTTCTAGCGTGTACTGGATTCCCACTACACGGTTGTTCAATGTTACGGATGCGCCTGTAGCAAGGCTCACTGTCATCCTCGTTGGAGGGAACTCTCGCTCTACATAGTTGAGCCCACTATCCTCTAGCGATTGGCGTCGAATAAAACTGTTCGACGCCCCACAGTCAACTAGGGTGCGAAGTGACATTCCACTTGTCATTTTGATCTTCAAAGTGATGAGAGACTCCTCATCACCAGGGGCAGTAACACAAAGCGACTGTGTGTTGGGAGCAAACTTCGTCAAGAGTCCTGCAAATCTTGAAGTTGCTGGATCAGAAGGGTGCTCCTCCCCTACTGACCCTGACCATTATTTGACGGTCCGACTTGCTGTTGCGTCTTAGCGACATGGTCGGACCCACGCCTTGGACCTTTCCTCTGCCAACGGTGGTTATCACGCCCTGTCTTTGGACGTGTTGTGGTGCTTATGGAACTACACTCATGAGCGTAGTGTCCAATCTTCTGACAGCGATGGCATCTTGCCGGTCGCTTGTGATTCAGAGAGCGAGAGTTCTTGCTCTCGATGTGACAGAGGTCCATTCGTTCGGGACCTCCTGTTTCCTGTCGCCTCGTCGTACCATAGTTTGACGAGTTAGCCTGATACTGTTACAGGCTAAAGTCTTTTTGTTCGGCAATCGTTTTTGCCTTTTTCAGCGAATGGAAGTCCTCTTGGAACATGTAGGTCTTCACCGTTTCATCTACAAGGCCGTCGATGAACACTTTGATGAGTGTGTGTTCATCAACAGAATTTTCCGTGATGCTACTAGCAAGGAAGCAGATGTGTTGCGCACAAGCTTGCACATCACACTTATCTTGCTTTAGCCTCAAGAGTGCAGAGCATGATCTGAACTCGGCTCCTGGCGGCTCAAGCGTCTCTTTGAGCCGAGAATTTGAGATCTCTAACGACTCAAACACGTTTGAATCGTGAAGCTTGAGACTTAAGGCTTAAGTCTTTGCTCGTCCTGTCAAATCTGGCAGGGAGAAAGTGACTTGCATATCGTCACCCTCGATGTGACGAGCTTTTATGGCGTCGTCTGACCCGACGAGCCATCTCAAAAGTGAATCTTCATCAGTTCTTCTGTACCTTGAGATGTCTATTTTCAGGTTTTCGGGTCGACGCGTCTGCGTCGGCCCGCCCGTCGACTGATAAGAGCCTTGATGTTGAAGCAAGGCTATCTTCTGTCTTTCGACGGCAATCTTTCCTTGGAAGAATTTTG